GCCGTTGCCGCCCCCTGACAAAAGTATCACCGAAAAATGTTCGGGCACGATCCCGTCTAGCCCTTGTTTCTTTTCAAGATAACCCTCTATTGACGATATGAGACTCCTTAGAGGGTTACACTGACAAAAAGGCTACGAAAAATTCTGTTAACAGCTTGTGGTAGTTCTCTGTATAGCATTCTTGTCAATATTCGTATGACAGTACAGTACTCTTTCTGGGAAAACCAGGATCCGTTTTTTTACCGTGTTGATACGACGTTACGTAAATGGCACCCCGTTCTAGGCACCTTTGACGCCTCGTCTCAGGGTCCACAAATCATCAAGCAACATGCCTTCACCCATAGGCCATGGTCGGCAGCGCTTAAGGTGCGAAAGGTGCCCAGAATCTGGGTGCCCATTTTCAGAGCGTGGTAACTTCGGAGCGCACTCCTCCGTTTTCCAGGTGCCTGTGGATCGTCTGCGACCGGCACCCGCCCGCCTCCTCCGCGTGGTGGCCGGTGGTGGTGGTCATCCTGGCAGCCTCTCTGTCCGTCACCAGCGTCGGCATCCTCGCGTTCGCGAGCGACTGCGGCAGTCCGACGGAACAGTTCTACACTGCCATCACGGGGCTGCAGTGGAACATCTACTACGTCCTCGTCACGTTCCCTGTCATCATTCTGGCCGGGCTGAGCGCCGACCTGAGGCGCGACTGCTCCGCTCTGGCATCCGCCTCGGTCGCGGCCGACCCTGCCCGTGCCTGCGAGTACGCACGCCAGGAGCGCTTGCAGCTGATGCCAGTGGCTCAAAGTCATCAGCCGGCCAAAGCATTCGGTACGCGAGTCATGCAGCGCACACACTGTGGCAAAAAGCTACGGAAAATTCTGTTAACAGCTTGTGGTAATTCTCCATAGCCCCCTTGTCAGTATTCTCCGTCTTACAGTCTTCTCCGTAGGACCTCACAGTCTTCCAGGTCCTACGGAGAAGACTGTGTAGTCCTACGGAGAACACTGTACGGCCCTACGGAGAATACTCTAAGAGCCTACGGAGAATATTGATAAGAGGGCTACGGAGAATCCTGGCAAAAAAAATTAACAGAATTTTCCGTACCTTTCCCCCATAGTACATTCAAATTCACGAAGCATTGGCTTCATAACTTCGAAGAAAATAAAGGCGTTGTTAAAATTACTTCGTACTTTGAAGAAATGCTTCAAATTATGAAGAAATGTTTCGTATTGCGAAGGATTTTGCTTTGAAGCATTCCTTCGCAGATTTTACTATGCCTTCGTTTTCTTCGTATTGCGAAGCGATCCTTCGTGGAGATTTTACTGTACCGCTTTCTCGAATTCGCCTCCGTGTTTACTTGAGCTTATTCGCCTATAATACCTTTACACCTTCATTTTTTAAAAACAATGCGTCTTTGACAGGGATCCCTAACTTACCTCACAAGGGCATCATAACGATATCGTACGAGTTAAAGTTATAACCCTTAACTTCTGAATTCTTTTCAAAAGGATAAGTTATTTTTCTTGTGTCTCGAATTTGTGTGGAGATACTTTTGGAAGTCCGTACCCTTAACCTTAAGCGAACATTGTCTTATGTTACGTTATGAAACCAGTGCTAGTTACATGTTAAGTTAAGGCCAGGGACAGGTGAAAAAATGAAGAAGTTTGGTGAAATTGAATGAAATGAGTTCTGGGTGGAAAATGGTCCTTTGGACCTTCCTCTTTCAGGATCTGTCGGGACTTCGACTATCCGGGACCTGGAAGTGCTTAAAATACATCTTTTCGCACACTCCTGCATTTACGACACTTTAGTAAAATTGTCCGTTTTGCCATCAAGGGGGAGGGGGGGGGGTTCTAGCGAAAATCTTGCCATTTTCAAAATGAACCCCACTGTCATAATTTGTTGGGAATATGAAATCATACTTCAAAGAGACTAAGATTTGATTTTTGAAGGCATATGCTAGGTCTTGAACCCAGTCGAATTGTCTTTATTGGACTGTTTTGGCTTTATTTAGCCGTATCTTGAACAATACTCTTGCGCATACTATTTTGTCGTAAAAGGTTGACCTGGATATTTTTCACTTCTTCGATTCATTTTAAAAAGATTCCAGCATGCCTAGTTCAAAATTTCTATTATATTAGTAATCACATGCTTTTTCATCTAAGAAGTCACTAAAACTTGTCTATTTTGTACATTGTTGATCAATTTAAGTGAAATGCATGCTTTAGAAGCTTGCCAATGATAATGTAATGGACATTTTCAGTTGTGCATGCTGGGATCTTTTAAAAATGAATCGAAGAAGTGAAAAATATCCAGGTCAACCTTTTACGACAAAATAGTATGCGCAAGGAGATTTTTTTGGCTGAAAATCCATTAGAATCTGTCACCAAACTTTAAACGCCCTTTTCTCCGAAGACATTTTTTTAACATTTGAATGGTCCTGTGCGCATACAGTTTGAAGTGTCGTCAATGATATTTTTTCCACTGACTCAGTAGGTTATTACGAGGAAACGCAAGTGACAGATTTTGTATATTCCACCCAGAAGTATGGTTTTGGATATCGGTTTTTACAAAAAAAGGGAAAATCTTTGGTTTTTGAAAAATGTCAAAATTGAAAAGTTGGTATTTTGCTATCAGTGCCGGAAACTAAAATCTGTCACTTGCGTTTGTTCTTTGGACTTAGACGAACAAAAAAATATGTCGGTCAGGTCAATAACCCAAAATGGGAAACGCACAGGAATTTTTTAACAAACACTTAAAAAATTATAAAAAAGCCTGTATCTCAGGAACCGCTTGATATTATGGGATGGGATTTTGGGTGAAATAGTTTATCATCAAGAGTAAGATTTTGACAGAAAATAAGAAGTTTTGGACCAGCAGTTTCTGAGATCATTTTTTCACCTGTCCCTGGCCTTAAGAATCCCTTGTCTTTGAATGGATTTTGCCACTCAAAAAGACGCAAGAGTGACACAACTGTCAATTTCAAATCCCTGAGGTCGTGCCCTCCGAAAGCCATGCCCTGAAGGTAGGTGATTGGATCGTCCTTTTTGGGCCCACAAATCTCAAGAAAGTTCACCCATAGCCATGGTCGGCAGCGCTTAAGGTGCGAAAGGTGCCCAGAATCTGGGTGCCCATTTTCAGAGCGTGGTAACTTCGGAGCGCACTCCTCCGTTTTCCAGGTGCCTGTGGATCGTCTGCGACCGGCACCCGCCCGCCTCCTCCGCGTGGTGGCCGGTGGTGGTGGTCATCCTGGCAGCCTCTCTGTCCGTCACCAGCGTCGGCATCCTCGCGTTCGCGAGCGACTGCGGCAGTCCGACGGAACAGTTCTACACTGCCATCACGGGGCTGCAGTGGAACATCTACTACGTCCTCGTCACGTTCCCTGTCATCATTCTGGCCGGGCTGAGCGCCGACCTGAGGCGCGACTGCTCCGCTCTGGCATCCGCCTCGGTCGCGGCCGACCCTGCCCGTGCCTGCGAGTACGCACGCCAGGAGCGCTTGCAGCTGATGCCAGTGGCTCAAAGTCATCAGCCGGCCAAAGCATTCGGTACGCGAGTCATGCAGCGCACACACTGTGGCAAAAAGCTACGGAAAATTCTGTTAACAGCTTGTGGTAATTCTCCATAGCCCCCTTGTCAGTATTCTCCGTCTTACAGTCTTCTCCGTAGGACCTCACAGTCTTCCAGGTCCTACGGAGAAGACTGTGTAGTCCTACGGAGAACACTGTACGGCCCTACGGAGAATACTCTAAGAGCCTACGGAGAATATTGATAAGAGGCTACGGAGAATCCTGGCAAAAAAAATTAACAGAATTTTCCGTACCTTTCCCCCATAGTACATTCAAATTCACGAAGCATTGGCTTCATAACTTCGAAGAAAATAAAGGCGTTGTTAAAATTACTTCGTACTTTGAAGAAATGCTTCAAATTATGAAGAAATGTTTCGTATTGCGAAGGATTTTGCTTTGAAGCATTCCTTCGCAGATTTTACTATGCCTTCGTTTTCTTCGTATTGCGAAGCGATCCTTCGTGGAGATTTTACTGTACCGCTTTCTCGAATTCGCCTCCGTGTTTACTTGAGCTTATTCGCCTATAATACCTTTACACCTTCATTTTTTAAAAACAATGCGTCTTTGACAGGGATCCCTAACTTACCTCACAAGGGCATCATAACGATATCGTACGAGTTAAAGTTATAACCCTTAACTTCTGAATTCTTTTCAAAAGGATAAGTTATTTTTCTTGTGTCTCGAATTTGTGTGGAGATACTTTTGGAAGTCCGTACCCTTAACCTTAAGCGAACATTGTCTTATGTTACGTTATGAAACCAGTGCTAGTTACATGTTAAGTTAAGAATCCCTTGTCTTTGAATGGATTTTGCCACTCAAAAAGACGCAAGAGTGACACAACTGTCAATTTCAAATCCCTGAGGTCGTGCCCTCCGAAAGCCATGCCCTGAAGGTAGGTGATTGGATCGTTTCGTATGTTTGCCAAAGAAAAGCAATTGTTGTTTGAGAGGTAGAGAGGTGATTTTTGAGCCTCGGACGGCGCGACACCCTAACAAAAACGGAGAGTTGATCCCACAAGGGTGGAGGAAATATCGATCACTTAAGCGATGTTTGGACAACTGAAACGTAAGAAATTAAGTCTAGCCTCTCTGGCAACACAATAGATTGCCACCAAGGAAGGAGGGGAGGAGCACGGTTTGATTGACTGAAGCAAACTTGGCTCGGGAAATAAAAACAGGGGGAGTGAGGAAGGGATTGGAAAGTACCCACGGTCATAACGTAATGTGAGGTACGCTCAACAAAGACGACAAAGCTTTTTCTTGGTAACTACGAAGAAAATGAAGGCATTGTACCGTAAGAAATCCTTCATATGACGAAGAATTTTGCTTCGTGATACGAAGCATTTCAGCGCAGAATTCACAATGCCTTCGGGCTCGCTGTTCCTGGAATGGAATTGGAATCGATAAAATGTCTCATGCCATATCCTTTTCAAAAGCCAGAGTGCGACTACGAGAAGCTACTTTCAACCATCTGTCAACATTTGGGGTCTCCGCATGGACGGCATCACGATTCGACGGCAATTCAAGAATTAAAACCTCCTTCGAGCAAAGTAATAAGACTAATTTTGCAGTTCTGCGAACCTTTGAGAAGCCATCTGAGGCCTTAAGTATGTGTTCTCCACTTGTCGGCAAAGGCATGAAATACTTTTAAACCTTAGGAAAGCAGCGAACCTGAGAAACCTCCAAGAACCATGCCTCCATCCGCATTAAGGATGCACAGGTAAAACTAAGGCGCATTTCATCAATATTCATTGACGTTTCTGCACATTAAAAGGATTTCGTTAAGCTTAAGTGATCTGTCGAGAGAAAATTGATATTAATGTTTCTACACTCTGAATGTCTTACAATGAAATTTGAGCTACGTTACAGTGTATTCGGCGCAAGCAAAGTAAGAGGCAATATTCCCTCGTAATACAAATCTTTTACGTATTTTCATTGTAAGATACGAAGAAAATCTTCCTTCGTAATAAGGCTTGCGCCATTTTCTTCGCATGATGAGAAATTTCTTCGCATGATGAGAAATTTTTTCGCATCATATTTAAAGTGTACAACAAATGAAAATGTTAAAACGCCTATTAATGCGCACAATCGACAGTTATTAAACAAAAACTCAGTACGAGTCTGGGAATGTAACTAACTAGAATAGTATGCCTTTCTTGGAGCGCACAGAGGAAACTTCAGCACGCATTCCAACAGGAGGCATGGTGATAACGGCCCTGCACGCTTCGATAGCACTGTGAAAATTTTAGCTGCCACTTGATGACAATTCCAACCGTCATTTTCCTTACAAGAATGTCATAAAAACAACACTGGAAGAAGCCACGACAAAAGTACACAAAGTCCTGGCAAATTTTTTATCAGGAATTTATTGTACTTTCCAAGTGCAACAATTGTTGTACAAAGTACAATGGAACCGGCACGACGAGTGGTGGACAGTCCAGGCCTCGTTGTGGTTTGTACAATGCTCGTTATGGTTTGTACAATCCTCGTTGTACTTTATACAATCCCTATTGTACTTTTATTGTACAGTTTTTGTTGTACTATTCACACTTTTTCATGCAGTGAATTGATGACATTGTTATGACGCCCATGCATTACGAACAGGAGTTCATGGAAATATCATCAATTTGTGATGAGATTGTCACCTTTTGAAAGTAATGAAAATATCGTCCACGATTTCAGAGACCCTTAACTTACCTCACAAGGGCATCGTAACGTTATCGTACGAGTTAAAGTTATAACCCTTAACTTCTGAATTCTTTTCAAAAGGATAAGTTATTTTTCTTGTGTCTCGCACTCTTAAAACCTTACGAAGTATTTTGAGCAAACGTATAACAAACTAAAATACTTTGTTATACGAAGAAATAGTTCGTAAATTACAAAGTATTTTCTTTGTAAGCTTACGTATGCTCAAAATACTTTGTTATACAAACTACTTTTCTTTGTAAGGCCCAAAATAGTTTGTAAGGTTTTCTCAGTGCGAATTTGTGTGGAGATACTTTTGGGCAAACGTCCGTACCCTTAACCTTTAGCGAACATTGTCTTATGTTACGTTATGAAAGCAGTGTACTGGTAAAACTAAAGCGCAGTTGTACGCTTCATTCAAGCGTACAACTACGCTTCAAGGCAATTCCCTCATGCATTTAGATAGGAAGAAAGGAGCGCATGAACTCTTGTACGCTTGAAGAAGGGCGTACTGGCTGTACGCTTCACGAAGGGCGTAATAGTACGCCTTAGTTTTACCAGTGTGCTAGTTACGTTAAGGATCCCTGCACGATTTTGTCAGCAAATTTTCACGATGAAGGGCGCCAGCGCCGTTACTTACGCTTGAAGAAAGATATTATGTCGTGACGCATCAGTTATACCTGTGTTAAAACCGGCAGGGACGCGGCGACGCAGACGGAGCCTGTCACATGCCGCAGGGCAGACGGTGTCAAGCTGTATGCAGCGCCGTGGCGCGCGCTGCGGCAGCGGCACCAAATACTGCTGGACGTGTGTCGGATGGCGCACGCCGTGGCGCAGTGGAAGCTGCTCCTCATAGTCATGACCACGATTTCGTACGGCACGATTCAGCTCACCGCTTCAACGCGGGGAGCTCTAAGTAAGCTGGGCACCCGCAATGAAATCTAATCAACCACACATGGCTGCGCGGTGAGACCTTAAACGCGGCTAACCTCACTTTTCACAGCAAGCTGATGGCAAAGTTCGTTTGCCACAAAATTGGCACCCCTCCGATAGGGGCAGGTCCAGCTTGGCCAGTCGAAGGCCAGCTCTGGGGCCTTTGGGCCTCTTATGAGACTCCCCGTGAGTGAGGGGGTAACGCAAAGTTATCGATCTACCATCGTGACCGAGGCCCACCCTTTTATTCAAAATATGGTCAAACGTTTACTCTAACTATCCGAAAACGGAGCCCACACTCTCAGACACTCTTCGGACGATTTTTTTCAGTATTTCAGTCAGTGTATTGCCTATATTATAGTTACGCTCAATCACTAAGCCGCAGAGTGAATATCCTACACTTTAAAAAAATAAGTCAAATAAGTTCTAAGAGTGAGTGGACAAGAATTTTTCACACTTTTCTGGCGGCACAAGGGGCTAGCCACGTGCACATCTTTGTTGTGATGTTCGCCACGTTTCTTAGGGCCGGTGGGGTAATAATGGGACACCGACGAATTGGGTAAAAATGGGACACTTTTTATTGTGGACATGATTTAACATTTTAAAACGTCGTACCCTAACATATTTATGCTCAAAACGTCCGTCTTACTGTCGAGTATCCCATTTTTCATAGGGCACAACAATATCTGCTCTCAGAAATAAGATTATAAAAATCTAACGGAACACTGTACCAACGGACCTTGGGGTGGTCCGAAAAATCTGCTGCAGAGGTCCAGAAATTAGATCACTGCAAAACATTTAGCAAGGGAAGAGTTAAGTGTTATGGCTCGATGAAAAGATAAAAGAACGGGGATTACGGTGATATAACTCGTTTTCACATAAATACATTCATTTACTTGTTACAGTAAAAGTTTTGTTTGGGGTAACAATGGGACACGACTTGGGGTAATAATGGGACTAACATTTACATGGGGGTCTTGGAGAATGAATTTTCAAAACTGTCCAAATTGATCTAGCTGACCGGAAATGGATTGGTTTCGACAAGACAAACAAAAAAGTCAACAGGAGCAATGGGTTTGGATGGAAAATGAAAACGACGTAGGGCTTTAAAGAAATCTAACGCGTTCCAAGTAGTTTTGTTACTTAAGCTTCTTTAAAGCTTCATAACTTCTACATTTTTCATCCAAACTTATGGCATGTGCTGACATTTTGTTTGGACTTTCAAGACGAAACATTTTCTGTCAATGAAACACCTAACATTTTCTTTCCTTCGATACCAAGCCCCCTGTCCCATTATTTCCCCTGAGTGTCCCATTTTTACCCCTAAGTGATATTTCCGAGTTGATACAGTTATTTCAACATAACTTCTAATCTAAATGAGTTTTTGATGTTATTCCAACACCAAATTAAAGGGTAAAAGATACTCTATCATTGAGATACATTATTAACACTTACAGGCGTCAGTGCTGACTTGTGGAACCCTTATGTCGGAAATTGTCCCATTATTACCCCAACTGACCCTACGTGGTGCGGTTTTAGGAGAAATTGGCCGCGTGGTATACTCGGGTAAACCTCATTTTTTGAGGAACCGCACATTTGACTGTGGTTCCTACCACGCTTCGAATGGACAGTGTGACAGGAACTTTACTGAAAACGTAAGTGTGTCGACGTGTCCTCATAGAATAATCCTAACGCTGACAGCAGATCCAAGACAATCCTACACGGTATAAACGGAACCTATGTCCACGTATTAATATGAGGGTGAAACAAGCCCTTCGGCGAGTAATTTCATGAAGTAGGCGTCACGGACTTTGAGAAAAGGCCGCTTTTCACGTGACGTGCAGTTGGGATAGTTCTGAATTGACACTAAAAGTAAGGATTGTCTTGGATCTACTCTGGAAGTTCGGATTATTCCATTGGGACGCGTCAGTGTACGAAGTGCAAAAGTGCACGTAATTGTGCACTGATCACACTTAAATTTTCAGTGTCCGTTGCAGTAAACGAACCAGTCTGAGAAACGAGGATTTACGGGTTGACTTTAGCATTTTCTTCGTTATGGGAAAGGTATCCGTCTTTTACCAGTTCTCTCCATTGTTGTTGTTTAGTCGCCGTGAATCAAGGGGAAATCTCAATACGTGACTTTGGAAGTGTCCTCAATGCAGTGTGCCACGTGTCCTTGTTTCTGGTGCTGTGCTGTGTGTACACGTCCGTCGATCATGAGGTAAGCTCTCTTGCTGCAAGGTGGCAGTAGCGTCAAATGATCTTCATGATTTTCGAACGTCGTTTTAAGGCCTTAATAGAAAGATTCGGTGAGAATCCCCGAGACAAACAACAGCATGCTACGCTCATTATACTGCACTGCTAGACGATGGTTTGCGTTGACCTTCAGGTTGACTCTGAATGCACTCTAGAAACTCAATAGAGTGCATGGTATGCTGCACCTCGGAGTCAACCACAAAGCACGCTTCACCCAAGAGAGTGCTTGCAAGCACACTCTTACCTGAAGCATGCATGGCAAGCACACTCAAAGGAAGAGCATGCTTGCAAGCACTCTCTTGGGTGATGCGTGCTTTGTGGTTGCTGGGACGCAGCGCGCTTCCCCAGAAAGTGTTTCCAAGCATGCTCTTCCTTGAGTGTGCTTGCAAGCACTCTCTTGGGTGAAGCGTGCTTGGTTGACTCCTACGTGCAGCATGCCATGCAATCTCTTGAGTTTCCAGAGTACACTCTTTAATTTGAAGAGCAGTCTTTGCAAAGCCAATGCGTAGCAAACTTCAACTTCAGGCACTTAGACGCTTGGCCCAAAAATGGCATTTTGCCTAAACCTTCCCTCGCCAAAAGGGGGACTCGAAGTTGACCTTATCATTATGCTACCCACACTCACTGAGTGGCCCCAGGGTGATTCCGTGCGTAGGGGCCGTTTTAGCCACCTTAGAAAGTCAAGTAATCAATCTTGCTTGTTCGGCCGGAATTTGGCCTAGATGGCATCAATTGAACCCCACGAAGACACTCTGAGCGTGGGCGAGCTAAAAGTTGACTTTCGTTTTCTCCCCCCTCTAAAATATGACGAAATTTACTGAAAATATGACGGAAATTACGCTTGACGGAAATTACAAACAGGTGTTTCTGGCTCACTGCAACTGCATATCGCCACAGAAATATGCCGTAAGTTTGGCACACTAGTTCGACGTCAAGACACATCTTTTCACGTGTAGGATGTCTTTCAAAACCCAATAGACGAGGAGCGAGAGGGGCATACGGAAATTACACCAATTGTTACAACCCACCGATTTCACACACAACTTCCACTCGGACACTCACCCCCCTCACTTTTTCGCCACCGAAACTCGTTCACATGGTAAACAGACCGTGCTGATTTTAAATACGGCGGTGGTTGGAGCACTCCTAGTAGTTTTTTTGGTGCTTACTTTGAAACCGCTAAGGTAAAAGTCGGAGTACGGTGGACATTTAGTACGCGTTCTGAAAGTACAGTTCCAATCAATATACGATCTTCAAATTCAAGCAAGATAGTCACTATTAGTTGGAGATTTGATGGGTGTGTGTGGAATTCGAAGATTTGAATGGAACGAAGGGTTATAGAGCCGCAAAGTTGGTGTAGGTGCGAATGGACATGACGGAACTTACAAAATCGACCCTTTTGGCCCCTCTCCCGCGTCACATGTTAGCTTTAAAAGTCCGTATGCAAAGGGAACAAGCTATTCTAGTGCCAAACAAGATTCTTAAGTGTATAAATGGACTGCACTCGAATAAGTTCGCTCTGGGGAGGGTGTGGACACGAAAACGCCCTCTACGCGTGGAATCACCCCCCAGAAAACGCACGAGGCCACACAATAAGCCACATTTTTTGTTGTCTTCGTGATGAAATATGTCAAGTCCTCATAGATGTCTGCAACTTAAGTTCTAGATTATTTTGATAGTTGCTTTGAGGTCAATGTGAATTATTCCTGGAGTGTTTGTCTGCTCAGAACGAGAAAGTGTGTGCGGTACTGTTAGATTACACCACCAACTTTTCTGTCCATTCCGAAGAGAAACTTGAGGTAAGTGCAGTAGCTAATATTTAAAATCGACAGGTTTGGATTTTTCCTTTCTTTTTGGCAGATTTAGTAAGGGAAGGTGGGGTACCATGTGACGGTTTTTGTTAAGTGTCCGTCAACCCAATACTACCAATCACATTACATCCATAAGTAGTCATGTGAACAAAATTATTCTTTACCTTAAAATTTCTGTAGATTTCTAATTTATCTGTTTTGGTTGCTGAGTTATCCCGAGTTGAATGGGCCAAGTCAAAGTGTCACTTCGTACCCCACGTAGTACACTAAGTGACAGCCTTAGTGCACCATGTGACAGTGGCCTTTTGTCAGGGTTTAAATCCTATTCAACGTATCTATACGCTAAGAATGAATGAAGAAGTCTTCCAGCTTTTTATTTCCGTTGAGTTTATCAATTTATCATCTTTGGTTCCCGAGCAATGAAGGTTTTTGTTATTAGTGTACAAATGTCATGGGCTGAACACATTCAACTGAGTGAATCGTGGAATCCCATAGCGAATGACAGTAGTGTCACATGGTGCCCAGATCAACAGTTTTAGGGGAAACAGCAATAACGCTCAAAGTTTATGCCGTAGAGAATAGAGCCAAAGCTTATTTTGCGCTTAAAACATCAAAGAAGAACATCTTGCAGAGCATATGTCCTTAAAATGTATTTTAAAGGTAAAAAGCGGACGCGGTGGGAAATAGAAAAAGTTTCCAATGAGCTATTTTAAGACTGTTTCCAATTCTGATCGCTACCATTCCCGTCCTATTCGAAGGAGAGTCACGACCTATTGCACGTCGATTCTCCTTCATGATACCTTCCTTTGAGTCTTCTTACCGCTGTTGGATAGCAAGCCGTTTAGGAGAGAAAGCCAAAGTCACATGGTGGCCGTGTCACATGGTACCCCACCTTCCCTTATAACACGACGGGCCGCAAATAGTCTTACTTTAGGTCAAATAAAACAGTTCTTCATTTAAATTTGCTTTGAGCACAACTTATGAAGGCGATTGAATATATATCTACGTGTCATTCGTTTCCAAACACTTCGAACGCCCAAGTGGACATACAAGCCAGAGAAAGTTCCATTATTTGTCATTTTAAGTAAATGAAAGATCGTTTTCAATGTTACAGGTTGATATGTTCATCGACCAAATAAACCGTTCTTCCAGCAAATGTACGGTTCTCTGGCTGTTCAAGATAGACATGACATTTATGACGCAGGTAGAAGCAACGATGTACAAACCCAGCAGTTGACATTGGAAATGTGTACTCTACACGTCTTCAGACGCATGTTGGCGAACGCTTTTGCAAGTAGGCCTATGCTTTAGCAGAACTGCTGTAAATGGTTTGTGCCTGTAAAGATACGAGGTCCAGAACCAAAGCTTCAGCTGTATACTAGCCTATCCATCCTATGGTGAATAATAATGAACTGACTAAACATCTGTAATTACATGGATGGCAAGTATATAAACATCTACAGATGCATGTGAATGGAAGTGTGCACCCACACTACCGTCAGGGTGTTTACTTTGCACATTTAAATTAGCAAAGAATCCCCACTTAACTTTACACATGTACGGTAAGTGAGCAGAGAATCCCTAATTACGTAGCACTGTGAGCATACTGTCCAATGTGGACTGTTTGGTTTGTACAGAGGTCTTTGTGATGCTACACTGAGAAAAAAGTCTGGTTAAAAGTACCAGACCAATCCTAGTTAAACGAGTACTAGTTACTCATACGAGAATCCTAGTAACTCTCACCAGATGATCAGTTGCAGTAACCAGATCGGGTGTTGTGACATTTACCAGGTGTCTGGTTAATAATCCTGGTAAATTTTACCAGACTGTTCCGTAATTGGCACCATACGTAAAACTTCGAAATATTCGTTTCAATTGAAATGTTCGGGTGTCAAAAAGTAAACTGCAACCGGTTTCGTTATTTTCGGAGTCTTAAATCCGAAAGAAACACTGGGAGTATTTCCCTGAGCCAGACACGTAGAGAGTCACCTGGTGGGGATCCCCTCGACCCACAGGCGATGTGGTGGCGCAGTGGTAACGTGCCCGTCTCACAAGTGTGAGATCCCGGTTCGAATCCGGAGGAGAGGAGGAGGGAAAAAAACAATGCAGAGGTTGTTCGTTAACGAAATCGACGTCACATCAGGTTTCATCACTACGAAAAATATTTTATTAAATTTTGGACTTCTTACTTCAGTTTTGTAAGCACATTAACTAAACAGGAATGTTTGGTAAAAACTACCAGAAGGGGACCTGGCGGCATTGTGAGGATAACTATAAATCTGGTACGGTTTACTAGACTGAGGCCAACTAGACAGTTTAGTATTTTTTACCAGAATTCTAGTTGAGTTATATTCTATCAGACAGTCTGGTATTTGGTACCAGGATTCTGGTTATCGTTACTAGACTTTTTTTTCAGTGTACATGCACAGGATGCCGTCACGAACGTAACCGTCACTTATTTGTTTCAGGTTTTAGCTGCCATGGTATCCTACTGCGTAGTGATGATGGAAATGGAAGACTAGACTCAATTCGGACTCAGTAAATTTCGTACTAAAGGGGCTTAAGTTGTGCAAGAAACAATCTAAGAAATTTTCACACGCCTCACATTGAAGCAGATCTGGATGACGTCGCATAATTTTGATCTTACATGGTTTCAATACAGACACGCTCAGAAAAATTGGAGGCAGATACTTCAAATGTACATAATAGCAGCAGAATCGTGGCGGAATTTTGAAGCAGCCGAAACCAGAGCTTGGCTATTGTTTAGCTGAAGGTCCACGACGCGGACGCGCAGGTCTAAGTGCGATAAAGTTTTCAAAGTAAAGTTTCTGTACCCAGCATACAATATTCAAGACACCTTTTCGATAGTATTTTAATTTCATTACTGACATGAACAATCAGAGCGCAGAGATGATAAACAAGGGATCAATTCTACATTTCTAACGCGCTCACAAACTTGGTTGGAAATTAAGAGACGCAAGTTCACTGTAATACTGTAAGTTGTTCAGGAAAGGCCTAGGGTCAGGGCGGGGAAAAATTGGACACCTGCAAGGTGGGGAAGAAACGCACACCGCACTTTTGTCACAAATTGGCCTATTTCGGGACGTGCAAAGTATTCAGCATTGCTTATTGATGGTCTGCTGGATTGTGTTTAAGAGGAATTTAGCCTACTTGAACCAGAAAGTTATCAAAGTCACCTCTAAACGAGGTCTCGTCTAAAACCACTTAAAAACTTTCAAAATTCGTGCCCGCAATATCTCTTTTAAACGACTTTCTGAGCCTATCGTGGCCAATATTCTTACTGTAAACGAAAGTTGGAAGTGTGGAGACCAAAATACGATCAAATGTTTTATCATGCAGCTGGATTACGAATGAAGGGTTAAATACGAAACGGGGAAAAACCGTACACTGGTGCGGGGAAAAATCGAACACCCCTTTTTACTCGTTCTTTACACACCACTCACTAACATACAAAACTCTATGTGAAGAGAACGAGTATTGTGTTCAAAAATGAGTTTTGGGGGGACATCTTTCATCTCAGATCTCACAGCATGTGGGAAAATGAGAGTGGTATCAAATGAAAGATGGAATGTCAGTCGCTAGATCGTAAATGAAGTTTTTTTTTACTTGCAATGAGAAATATTGAGAAAATGAACATGAAAGAGAGACGTTTTTAGTGCACTATGTGAAACTAACCTCTTTTCACGTGTCTGTATCTTTTGATGTTGAACGCCACTGAAACGCAAAGTACAACAACAATGACACGAGATCTTTGGTCAACAAAAATCTAGGAGGGTTTTTTGCAAGTGACAATGGATAATTTTGAGAAATTTGGTAATAACGAAATATTGTTTGACCCTTACCATGATACATGTCTCAGAACTGCAAGCTGTGTCATCTTCATGAATTTCTTTTTGATGGTGTTGCACGTCTTATGTTCAAGATGAGAGATGAAATAATAAGTTTCATTTGACTGTTTTCTAAAATAAATGTGTCCTTCTGAGGGTTTTGGTCATGGAAAAAGCAGGTTTTTGGCACGGACTCACGGACTCTAGTGTAAATTCGATTATGCACGAGAATCGATATCTCGAGATATCGCGATGCATCGATGTTCCCTGCCTGAGAGGTGAACCAACCGGAAGCGTTCGTTAAAAGGCAAAATTACAAATCGTCAGAGGACAATTCATGTAACGATCAGCGACTGACACATCAATCTAGCTTTGTAAAGAACGAGTCCCTCCCATGTGATATCAATTCTTTGATGTCTTTCCTTCTTGTTTTACTTGCAATGAGAAATATTGAGAAAATGAACATGAAAGAGAGACGTTTTTAGTGCACTATGTGAAACTAACCTCTTTTCACGTGTCTGTATCTTTTGATGTTGAACGCCACTGAAACGCAAAGTACAACAACAATGACACGAGATCTTTGGTCAACAAAAATCTAGGAGGGTTTTTTGCAAGTGACAATGGATAATTTTGAGAAATTTGGTAATAACGAAATATTGTTTGACCCTTACCATGATACATGTCTCAGAACTGCAAGCTGTGTCATCTTCATGAATTTCTTTTTGATGGTGTTGCACGTCTTATGTTCAAGATGAGAGATGAAATAATAAGTTTCATTTGACTGTTTTCTAAAATAAATGTGTCCTTCTGAGGGTTTTGGTCATGGAAAAAGCAGGTTTTTGGCACGGACTCACGGACTCTAGTGTAAATTCGATTATGCACGAGAATCGATATCTCGAGATATCGCGATGCATCGATGTTCCCTGCCTGAGAGGAGAACCAACCGGAAGCGTTCGTTAAAAGGCAAAATTACAAATCGTCTGAGGACAATTCATGTAACGATCAGCGACCGACACATCAATCTAGCTTTGTAAAGAACGAGTCCCTCCCATGTGATATCAATTCTTTGATGTCTTTCCTTCTTGTTTCTATAAAAGTCGTCGAATTGCCCTCACATTCCACCAAAGTGGTGCTAACAAGTGTATTTTAACATTTCTCAACAATTAGTGAGGAAACAAACTTGACTGTTACCGATTTCATACATTTTGGTCATTTAAGGGGGCACACCAGTGAAAATCGTCAAATTTTGGCCTCCTTTTTTATTTTATCTCATTTTTCTGCTATTCATTCCGAGTCGAACACCGCAAACCCCACCTCAAAATTCCAATTACTTTGGCTTCGGCACATTTTTGAAGTTCCTAAAAAGGTAACTATTTTTGCATATTTTACCTCAATTGTTAACGTGCAGGTGTTTCACTTGAAGTCCAATGACAAAACCCTCGAACCATCGAAACGCAGTTGGAAAAATGAATATTTTGGCGCAAACCGAACTCAAATATGTCATAAATTGCGTCCGTAATGAGGAATAATGCGTGTAAACCGTAGTTTCACTTCAAACGTCGTTTTCTCGAAACACCATTTTTATACCTGGTGCCCACGATTGCGGCCGCAACAATTGAGAGAATTGAGTGCGGTTTGCGGCAAAATGTTCCTTAAACTTCCCGCTATCGTGTGAACCTCGGATATGGTCGTAGCATGAACAGGGCCTGAGCCACAGACACGGAAACGTGAAAAATATGGTCAAAAAATTAGTTTCTTTTTTCGCTTCTCAAAAAAAACACATTTAGGATTGTGTTTCCGACATGTCCGTGGTTCACACGATAGCCACATGTGTCCTGATGAGAAATTTTGAAACCCCATGTTTGTGGCTCAATCGAGGGCTTCACAAAGTTGGGCAAAGTGGAGCCGTGTCACCGAAAAATGAAGATGGCGCCCACCCCCCCTTCCCGTCACCGCCCCTGGCTGCCGTGTACTTTTTCGGTTAAATTGACATATTTTATCGTTCAGAATGAAATTTCAACCCATTACCTTCGTTACTTTAATCAGAATAACGTTTTTACGAAGCCTCTGCATTTTCACTGGTGTGCCCCCTTAACCTCAAAAACTTGCCGCCACGGACCCCCTAACAATGCTAAGATGATTTCTGCACTGTAAAAAATCATGGGTAAATTTACCCGTGCATTGCACTGGTAAATTTTACTCCATGGCCTGAGAAAAATTTTTCTCACGTAATGGATGCGCAGAGCTAAACTAACCATATGGCTGGAAAATTTATCCACTGACAGTGTGGGGAAATTTATCAGCCACAAAAGTAAATTTACTCTTTGGGATGATAAACTGATTTCACTTGCCATGACAGTAAAATTACCCTAGCAAGTCAGAATAAATTTCTACACCTGGAGTGGCCGACCATCTTTCCCGCGCCACAGGGGCAAATTTCCTCGCGCCTCTGCTCGGCCAGTCCGGCCGGACCAGTACAGAGCTCGCAGCGGCCTGCCTGTAGGATGTCTCGTGGCGCAGTGGATAGCGTAGTGTGATTTGAATCACAAGGTTGACAGTTCGACTCCCATTGAAGTCAACAACGTGGGCAAGGTGTAGTCACCCTAACAAGGTTTTATCCACTGGCGCAAGCCAGCAGGATAATTTTACCCCTGTGGCGTGAGTTATTTTGGGTCGGTAGAAATTTACCCCTGTGGCTCGGGAAAGATAGACCCTCAGTCCATGTGCGTAAATTTCACAAGAAATGGGTGCAGAAATTTCTTACGTCATGTACTGATCTATTTACCTATACATTACATGAGAAATAACTACCGCTTGGTGGTGGACCAAGCGTTGCCCGGTCCAAATGCGTAAATTTTCCCCCGGAATTTTTTTACAGTGTGTCTACATATGGGTACTCGTGCGCCTGCTCCAGTGGGTATCGCGAGTCTTATCCCCGATAATCATTCCCAAGAGATTTCTGACCTAGTTTCATAGGTTTTTGTGAAATTAAAGCCTATGTCCGATTTTTCCCCTTAGGTGTCCGATTTTTCCCCGTTTCGACGGGGAAGAATCGCACACTGTTTTTCCTCGTTTATTACTAAATGAAGCCGCAAACGCACTCGCCGATGCTTGAAATGTCGTACTTTGGGGCTAGATCAACTGACCCAATGGATACTTTGGCTAAAGATTGTCAATTAGAGTCAAAATCGAGAAAGATTGCGAAACGTCCAGTTCTTCCCCGCCCTGACCCTAGACAAAAGAGTCATTTACTCTCGCTTCGCCATTGACATGAGAATGAAGGACCCAACAAGAGTGGCGACAAATGCCCTTGCGTCTTCGTCGGAGTTGCATGCGCAGCGCTACGGTGACACACGAGACGGGTATGGCCGGTTAGGCGACCTGGATGGCGAACTTCTCTTCATGACAACGTGGTTCCTGGAGGCGATGATAGCACGGCGCACCCAGCGAGTCCGCAGTTGCAGTCTGCACCTCTCCGGCGGGCCTCAACGTCCTCAGACCGCTGGGACTACAAAAGGAAACATTGTAGAGTTCCGATAACGAAATTCAAGTTTCAGAACGTACTGGTTAAGAATTGTTAACGTATAACGTACTCCAGCTTACGCTAGCACAGTCCCGAACATTTCAGAAACGGTACTTCTTACTTCGGCGAAGACCCAGACCGGAAGTCAGATACGGGAGACAAAACAGCGTCGCACGGCTCTCCGAGGTGGTGGCGGGGGCAATGACAAGTAGGGTGGGGATGACATTTGCCCCAGTCTGCCCAATACGATTCTCACTAACTGGTGAGTGCTGCCTCGCGCGTTTCGGCTTACCCATTTACATTCTTACTTCGGGTCTGGATCTTCTCAGAAGTACTCTGCTCGCACATCTCGGTAATGGAGCATTCCGTCGTCGCCGATCGAAGAACAAGAGGAGCAAAACCGGAAATGGCGTCGGGAACATAACCTCACAGACCTGTCGGAGTGCATCAGCGGCTCTCTTATTAAGGCGATTTCGCCCATTTAGAACTGTTTACGAAAGGAAAGAAACAAATCTTCAGCAGCTCCTCTGCTTTTCTTTTCCACCTTTCATTTTGATAGATGACAAGAATGCTGTATTAAGAGAAGATCTGGAACGGAGGTGGAGAAGAAATCAAGTTGAACAATGTAAGCGGCGCCGCTCTGCCGCTGCAGAGCTATATTTTCATTCGTTTCGATCTTCGTAATTTCTTTTAAACTTCTGTTCCAACTCTTCTTGGAAGCACGGTCACCATAATAGGGTACTTCGGAAGAAATCCAGACCGGAAGTCAACTCGGAAATTCCACGCCGATACTCATGGGGGAGGAGGGGCTGAAAAATCAGCCAAAATCTGTCAACGTGGTTTGTGTACGGCCCCTTAGTCAAAAGTGTGAAAGCAAGGTCCAATCAATAGTGAGACCCGTTCGGAAGAAACAACCTGCGTCTGCGAGTCTGTCGAGTTAAATATCCCTTTCACTCATGGTGTGCTAGTGAAGAACAAGAGGAAGGGAAAGCACCGGAACCAGTTGCCAAAATCGTCTTGTTTGAAGGTTTTGACCGTTTTCTATCATGGAACTGATCTTTGATTGTTCCGAAACTTTTTATAGAGCCCACTTGAACCCATAACATTACCGAATTAGCAACTTTTATGGGCTGTTTCCGGCTTCTGTTATTTTTCTTCGTCACTCAGCTCACGGTGAAAGTGTCTATTCGTTCCCGAAATTCCCATGCTTATGAATAGGTACGCGTAATTTAATTACTGATATATCAGTTGGGCTCGCTTTGACAACATCGTGGATCAAATGTTCCACTACGCTTTAAAGCGTCGACCAATATATGGTCCCCGCACTAAAATGGAGTCCACGCCACGGACCAAGCGTCCACACTTGGATTAGTTGTGTGTGTTTACAATTTTGACAAGACTAGAGGCAGAGCACGGGAGTCCCGCGTACGTCTAGACTGCTGCGTAAGGGCTCGCCGGCCCTGCTGCTGACTTGGCACTTGTGGCGTGGCGCGGCCAAGGAATGTGTGCCTGGCGTCGTGCCAGTCAGCCCTGAGCGTCCATCTGGAGAACCTCGGGAGTTCTGGCGCCGCGTGGAGTCCTTACTGTTCACCGCGTGCTGCGTGCTGCCGTGGGTTGAGCGGTGAGCAGCCTGGCATTCCATTGGTGAGTTTCCTGTCGACCTAAGTGGCGCTCTGTACGTCAAAATTTAGCCCTCTGGTCCCAAAGTGCTCTTGGAGAACGTCTAAATTTGGCCCTCCGGCAGGCTGGGACCATCAATTTTGGGAGTCTGTCAAGACGATCCGAGGCCAGAATGCCATGACGTTAATCGTTACGCCACTGGAGTGGCAAGAAGACTTACCAATGGAACTTCAGCGCTTGCTACGCACGTTTCGGTCACAAGCGCCCTCTGCTCATACTTTCAATTGTTGCACGCTTGACGCTCCTCGGCCGTGGCAGGATTTAGTGACTGAACAGTGCAGTGTCAAGGCACGGTCCACGACATCACATTTGTTTTTCTTTTCATCTGTGCACAGCTTTTGCTCAAAATTGAGCATGCGCGTGTAGTGCACGAACACTGTAAAAAATTCCGTACTTTTGTACGAAAATAGTACTGAAAAATACTGTACGGAGGTACGGAGAAAAGTACGGAACGTTCCCTACTTGCTCCATTTGAACCCATGTAAATGAGTACGGAAAAAAAAGCACGGAACGTTCCTTGGTTGGCAAGTACGGACGGTCCAGGCAAATTATTGACCAGACATGTTCCGTACTTTTTCCGTACTTTTTTCTCACAGTGAATAGGGTACTTTCGTAGATCCCTGAGCCGGAAGCACACAGACGCCATGTTGGCGGAAGTAGATCCAAACGTGACATGGGAAAGAGACGTTCGTCAAAGTTATCGGCCACACTTGAACATAAACAGTCGTTTGATTTTTTTTGCAGTGCATGTGTGTTTCGCGAGAAATATTTGTACAGCTCGGCTATAGTTTGGATCCGAAGAGAGGTTAGTTTCCGGCCAATTTGGCGTCTGCTGGTCTGCTTGCTTCCGGTTCAGGATTCTACGAAAGTACCCTATTCATGCTCAATAGCGCACATTTTTGTGCGTAGCTATACGTTCATATTCGTGCACTTTGAAACGCAGGCTTTATAGGGTATTTACGTAGATCCTGAACTGGAAGCAAGCAGACGCCTTATTAGCCGGAAACTTAAAGCTCTCTTCGGATCTAAAACTAGACCCGAGCTGTACAAATATTGCTCGCCAATCACATATTCACCTACAAATAAGTATCAAGCGACTGTCAATGTTCAAGTGTGGCCGATACGTTTCCCATGTTCCCCCCCTTTCCCATGTCAAGTTTTGATCTACTTCCGTCAACATGGCGTCTGTGTGCTTCCGGTTCAGGATCTACGGAAGTACCCTTTTGTGCGCTCAGGTTATGAGAGTGGTGTGTTGTGTTCCTCGCCGTTTTTGCGTGAACAGTTGACCATGACGCCCTTCTTTTTTTCAGGTAGTTTAATTCACTTCTGAAGACAGTCCTCGACCCACGATGTCGAGTAATCAACTAAGCAACAGTAAGTGAAGTTCACCTCTACTCTACTGTCCCAATTCGGCATGCCCTGAAACTGGACGCCTTTGTCACCTGTTCCACATTTTAGGCCACCAAATGTGGCCCAGTTTCTGGGCACCTTTGTCTCTCCCTCCACGAACGTGATACCGAAACAAATGAGACAAAATGTCGCGTTCCTTTGAGTACTGTGTCACATTCGTTTGAATGTGAGGTAGACGCCAGGCGTGGATTGTCGTGACTGGCGCAGCATCGCGAAGCCTGTTACGACAAGACACGGTCTGCCGTACACCTTCCTTGTTAAGTCCCAGGGATATGGGCTTTAATAGGGTACTTTCGTAGAATCCTGAACCGGAAGCAAGCAGCCAGCAGACGCCAAATTGGCCGGAAACTAACCTCTCTTCGGATCCGAAACTATAGCCGAGCTGTTCAAATATTTCTCGCGAAACACATATGCACTGCAAACAAGTATCAAACAACTGTTTATGTTCAAGTGTGGCCGACACGTTTTACGAACGTCTCTTTTTCCCCTGTCAAGTTTTGGATCTACTTCCGCCAACACGGCGTCTGTGTGCTTCCGGTTCAGGGATCTACGAAAGTACCCTATTGTGTTTTAGTAACTTCTCTTTCATGCCATTTTTTGACAGTTTGATCAGTTTAACCATGGTGCCCCTGTAACTGCATGAAGTGCACGCTAATTCATTTTAAAATACTGGCATTGTCAGGAAAATTTGTTGAAAACCGAGTCCTAGAGAAGCCAGGGCCAAATCGGTAAAACTGTCGTCGCTACTCAAGGTTATCTTAGCATTTTTCCGCTCGCCTTTTGCAGTCGCCCTGTCGGGGCCGTGCGACGTGTGCGGCAAGGACGGCAGGCCGTGCGCGCGCTGCCGCCTCAACTACTACTGCGGCAAGGAGCACCAGAAGGTGCACTGGCCGGTGCACAAGCTGGGCTGCGGCGTCGTGGAGATCCGAGGAGACCTGCTGGCCGCCTCCAAGAACATCCCCGCCGGCACCGTCGTCCTCAGGGAGCTGCCCACGCTCCGGTACCCTGGCCAAAACGAGCAATTCAAGGTTCGTACACTTTCAAAACCTGGCAGACTATTTTAGGCCTTACGAAGAAAAGAACCTCACTTGTGAAACAAAGTCATTAAAATTATGCTCTATAAGGGCGTAAACGACTTTAGCCCCTAAAGGGCTTAAATCGTCAATGCCTTTGGGAAGGGCATTAAAATTTTGCTTGAAATTCCTATACCATTTACAGGGTTGCCACGCACCTGGAAAACAGGGAAAACCTGGAATTGTCAGGCAAAATGAAACCATGTCAGGGAGAACCGGGAAAACCTGGAAATGTCAGGGAAATTTGCCGGAGACAGGTCAAAATCTTAACTTTCTTGACAAAAAGTCAAAAAAGTGCCCGCACGCCGGATGGGATATCTTTTCCACGCGCGACAACTCCCTTCAAAAATTGGCCAAAATGTCAGGGAAAATGACAAAAAAATGTCTCTGGAAAACCTGGAAATGTCAGGGAAATCCGAAATTCCAAAAGCGTGGCAACCCTGATTTACGCCCTTCCCAAGGGCTTAAAACGATTTATGCCCTTGGGAAGGGCGTAAAAGAGTATTTATGCCCTAAAGGGCGTAATTTTTACGCCTGTGTTTCACCAGTGCTAGCTTGCCATAACAAAGTATTTTGAGCATGCATCAGCTTTCAAAGAAAATACTTCGTAATTTACGAATTCACTTGTTCGTTTGTAGCGTTCGTTCGTTATTGTAGCGTAAATACCTCGTGCTTGTTCAACCTATCATGATGCTTCTATGGTTAATGTCCATTTGCATCGTTCGTTTGATTACACTGGTAGAACTCAGCGTAGTTTTACGCCTTTCTTCAAGCGTAGTAGTAGAACTTACGCTCGGCTTCAAGCGTTGTTCTCCATTTTGACCCTCTCCCGCCTATCTAAATGCATGGGAGCATTTCTTCTCCACGCTTGACGTCAAGCGTAAAGTCTTCAAGCGCAGTTGTAGGCTTATCAAGCCTACAACTACGCTTCAGTTTTACCGGTGTAGTTTTAGTTTTCCCTGCAAACAGTATGTTGGAAAAAAAGGATGAAAATTCAGGTGTCCCCTCCTGCTTCATGGAGCAGTTGTTGATCAGACTTTCTCAGTAGAGCGATTCTCACGTTACGGGGTAGTTTCGTTTCTTCTGACTCCTGTGCCCAAACGAGCGCAGATATCGACATGGGGTTTGTTTCTGATGTTAGGGAGGGCCATTGCCCACTAAACGCACACATTTCGAAAAGTTCACGTTCGTTGGGTTGGTCTACGTAGCGTTGGAATACCCAAATGTAACTTCCGTGATTGTCCAAAGAGAACATACTCGAACTTTCCGCCCCCAGTGTGGCGGTGTGGTTCGAAAATGCTGCCAACTGTCGATGGGGATTCGAAGCTTGGCATGTTTCAAGCTAATTTCAACCGAAGACCAACACGCCAGACTTCTTTCAAAGGTACTTATGCTGCAACGAAAAATGTCCTCCGTGTATTTAATTTTACTACACTAATGTCGAAAAAGGGAGCTCTGGACTTCTCCCCAAGCCAAAATTTTAAATTTCCATGACACAAGCCATCAAAGTGGAGCCCTGGGGTATAATTGCATGGGTCGCGGAAAACAAGATGCTGTAAAGGTCTCAAAGCGGGCTAGAGCATTATAAAAAGGCGTGTATCAACAGTAGTAAAGACCCCCCCCGGTGAGGGCGGCCATTTTTTACCCCCAGGGGACGTCTGTCTAACCTATCCTTCGGAAGGTCCTGAGGGGTCATTTTTTAAAAAAAATTTTTTTATTTTTTTTTTTGGGAATTTTTTTGGGGGTGAAGATGAGGGCTCTAAACCAACCTAACCTAAGGTAGGGGGGGGGCCTAACCTACCCCTTTAACCCCCCGGGGGGTGTTCGGGGCGATAGGACTGTGAGGCGCGTG